AGCCCGAATCCGAACCCTAACCACTAACCCAGCCCCAAAGGGAGTCACGAGGGGCCCCCTGCCCCCTAACCACTAACCCCAGCCCCCTACTCACTACCCCCTACTCACTACTCGCTATTCGCTACTCACGACTCACTACTCACTATCCACTACTCACTACCCACCACCCACTACACGCTACTCACTACTCCCTACTCACTACTCCCTCCTCCCTCCTCCCTACTCAGTCCTCACTACCCACTACTCAATACTCACTACTCACTAAGCACTACTCACTACTCCCTATTCACTACTCAATAATCACCACTCATTACCCACTACCCACTATCCACTACGAACTACTCACTACTAACTACTCATTGCCCACAGATCACTACTCACTACCCACTACTCGCTACTCGCGACTCCCTACGCCGTACACAATACTTACTACACAGTACTCAGTACTCAGTACTCGCTACCCCTATACTCGCTACTCAATACTCACTACTTACTCCCTGCTACTCACTATTCACTACTCAGTACTTATTACTCCCTACTCACTAGTCACTACATAGTCTCTAGTCATTAGTCACTAGTCACAACTCACTAGTCACTACTCATTACCCACTACTCACCAATCGCTACTCACTACCCACTATTCGCTACCCACTTCATACTACTCACTGCTCACTACTCCCTACTCAGCACTCACTACTCACTACTCGCTACTCCCTGCTCGTTACTCACTAATCACTACCCACTACTCACTACTGAATACACTCTACTCACTACTCACTACTCACTACTCGCTACTCACTACTCACTACCCACTGCCACCACCCACTACTTTCTATTCACTACTCATCACTACTCACTACTCACTACTCACTACGCACTACGTACTACTCAGTACTCACTACTCACTACTCGCTATTCACTACTCACTAGTCACTACTCACTACTCGCTACTCACTACTCACTACTCACTACTCAATACTCTCTACTCACTACTCACTACGCACTACGCACCACCCACAACTCACAACTCACTAATCACTACTCGCCATCCATTACTCACTACCCACTACTCACCACCCAGTACTCATTACTCCCTACTCCCTACTCAGTACTCGCTACTCGCTACTCGCTACTCACTACTCACAACTCACTACTCGCCACTCACTACTCACTTATCAGTACGCACTAACTACTCACTATTCACTACTCACTAGTCCCCACTCCCTACTCCCTACTCCCTACTCGCCACTCACTACCCACTACTCATACGCACTACTCACTACTACTCACTACCCCCCAATACTCACTACTCACTACGCACCGACTCACTACTCACTACTCACCACTCCCTACTCCCAACTCCGTACTCCCTACACGAGGGGGAGAGGGGGTCCCCCCCCCCCCCCCCCTTTCCAGCGCCAAGGGGGGGAGAGGGGGGAGGGGGGGGGGGGGGTCCGGACCCCCCGCCCCCTTGAAGGAGGGAGGGGGGGAGGGGTTCTGGACCCCCCCCCTCTTTAGTGTATTCAGGGAGATCCACTGGCGCACTTTCCGAAACCAGCTGCCCGCAGCCAATTTCGACCCCCCCCCTTTCCCAATCCCCCCCTTCCCTCCGGCCCGACTGCCCACCCCCGATTCCTTGCCACTGCCCGAGGGAGCCCTCCGCGCCGCGGGCCGCGGGCTGCCCCTTGGCCGGGCGCGGCGGGCTGCCGCGGCCGTCGCGGGCCGCGGCCCGCGGCGGCGTGCCGACCGGCGGCGCGGCGCCCGGGCCCTCCACGGCGGCGTGCCGCTCGGCGCCGCGGTCGGCGCCGTCCTCGGAGAGCCGACGCTGTGAGAAGTCCCAGGAGGTGGATCTCTCGAGCTCTCCGCCGCCTCCGGCGGTGTGCGCCGCGAGCAGGAAGACAGCAGAGCCACAGGCGAGCGCGGCATTGACGGCGTATTGCTCCGCACGCGTGGCACACGTCAACGAGCAGGAGCACGGCAAAGCCCCAGGGAGAGGGAGGCAGTGACAGTGTAGCTCAACATTGACATGGTGGTGGCCAGGGAGCCCCTGCGACATGACCACGACCGGACGCAGAAATGCCGTGCTCATCTTGGTCAGCGCCGATCTTGGTCAGCGTCGATTCGTGGAACATCCTCGCGCATCGGCGACGGCCGCCATGGACCGTGACCAAGATCGGCATCGACAAAATCCAGCGACATCGTGGTCATGGTCCCCGAATTTTTCTTCCCTCGAGCAGAGTCCCGGTCAAACCAAACAGACCACGGCTCTAGCCGTGGGCAATAAGAAAAGGCCTAAGACGGAGCCAGGACGAAGATCACATCGAGGATCATCGAGGGCCTCTGCCTCTGAGATTCGGCGGCTCTGGATGATGCCTCGGGCGTCGCGGCCTTCTCAAAGCGTTCCAGAATGCTCTGAAAGCGTTCTGGAACGCTCCAGAACGGATTCACCCAGGTCCTTGCCCCGTCCGACCCATCGCAAGAGACCCAAACCTGAGGATCCCAGAAAGTTCTTGGGCCAGGGTCGGGTTTCTTGCTCAGCGACTGCCAGCGAACAACCTCAGGCTGCCCTCCCATGTCCGTTGGTTTATTAAACCTTCGGGCGCGCGCCCCAAAACGCCCCAGCGCCCAAGAAACACATGGCACCCTGCCAGCTGCGGTTTCCTCACGACCGCTGAAAGCCGTCAGATGCGAGCAGAAATCTGAGAAACCCGCACACTAGCAAAATGTAATGGGTTTCTTGGCATGGGCTCCCACTGTGACCAGAGCTCCTCAAGTCGTGAACAACAAACACGGCGGCTGGCTTTGTTTTACTTCCGGTAATCCGCCGACCCCTTGGGGATCATCGGCGTGTGAGATGCTTCCCCCTCCCCAAACCCCTCCCCCGGGAGCCCGGTCCGGTCGATTTGGAGGGGGGGGGGGGGTCCGGGACGAGCGCAGCACGGGGGCGGGGGGGGTCGAGCGCAGCACGGCCGGGACGAGCGGTTCACGGAGCTTTTCCGGGCCCAAGAGGGCCTCAAGACGGGCCAAGAAGCCCCCAAGAGGCCTCCAAGACGGCCCACGAAGGCCCCGAGACGCCAAACGACCGCTCCAAGACGCCCAAGATGGCCCCAAGACGGGCCAAGAGGTCTCCAAGACGGCCCCCGAGGTCCCAAACAAGCCTCCCAAGAGGGCCCCAAGAGTCTAAAATTGTTGATTTTCCATAGTGTTTTTCGATGTGTTTTGCTTTTCCGCCTTTTCGGCTTCCCGACGCTCCAAGACGGCCAAAGAGGCCCCAAAGACAGCCCCAAGATGGCCCAAGAGGCCCCCAAGACGGCCTCCAGACGGCCCAAGACGGCCCCAACACGGCCCAAGAGGTCCCCAAGACGGCCCAAGAGGGCTCCAAGACGGCACCACGAGGGGCCCAAGAGGGCGACCAAACATGTTGAAACTCTAGCTTTCTGCCCCCAGGAGCCCCAGGGGGCCCCAAGAGTGCCCCAAGAGGCCCCCAGAGGCCCTCACGAGGCCGCCCAGACGCCCCAAGGAACCCCCAAGAAGCACCCCAGAGGCTCCGAAACGGCCCCCGAGTGGCTCCAAAACTCGCAGTGTCGCTGTCCGCTCGGACCTCCCCGCGGAACTGCCCGAGACCCTCTGGCGGTGGCGGCGAACAGACACCAAACAAATATCACTCGCCTTTTCACCCCTTCGCAGCTTCTACTACCCCCAGATTGGCATAAACAAGGGGTCGGCGGTGTGGCGTAAGCCTAAGAATCATATAGGGTCCCTCTCTGGGACCTGAGACCGTCGAAAACGGCTCGGGAGGAAAAACTGGTCCTGGGGAAGTGGTCTTAATCTCCAGAGGTCCAAATTATGAACACATCATGAAATTGAAGGGGTGGTCTGAGTAGATAATCCAGGTTATGGAGCAACTCCTGGGAAATCTTCGTAAGAACGAGATAGGGCGATTGAAGAGCCATGATGCAATCTGCCGGTTTTCGAACAGCGCCGCTGCTCAATTTCACCTCCTGGGATTTGCATCCTAATCCAGGCATGACTGCGTCGTGGAAGTACCCCAGCAAAGCACCCTAATTGCAGCACAGGTGAAGAGGCGTGTCGTGGAGTTGGAGGTCGGCCATAGGGGACAAGGGTGCGAGCAAGGCCATGCGCACCACCTCAATGGAATGCTTACAAGGGGGCGTGACCGGCCAGACCAAAAATGTAGCTGGCACTGAAGCGACAGAACGGTACTTGAGCAACCTGTAAGGATGCCTCAAGCGAAACGGCTGGCGGACTCAACGTCCTCTGGCCTCCGGTGCCCCCTGTGGGACTATTCTGTATTCCTCATTTTCACCTGCACTAGAACATTCTAGCGAAATGCCATGGGTGAAACAACAACATGTTATTTTACACGGGCGATTTCGGAAACCCTGACCCCCCCTAACATGTTTATCTCTTGGGGGCGCATTTTTCCTTCCGCCGGCCTTCCGCCGGGCCGGCGGAGGCGGCCACATTATACTTCCGCGGACCTTCCGCCGCCCTTCCGCCGAGGAAGAGACGACGCCTCCTTCGATCCTCGAAGGCGACCCCTTTTTTCGGAACGCCCCGCGTGCTTTCGGTATCTGGGGGCCCCCGCCGCCGAAAAACCATGTGCACACATGGACGAGACACCGCCCTCGGGGAAAGGCCCAGGACTTCTGGGGACCCTGCACTCAACAAATCGGAACGCCACACCTCTCGGATTGCAGTATCGCGACAGACCACGGCCGCAGCCCTGGACCCTATCTCTCGCCATCGCTCGGACGTTTCTTCCCCGTGTACCCTTCGGCGCCGTGCGCCTTTTCTTCGCACGGTGATCCGAGATGCTCGATAGTCCTCGCCGAGCCAAAATGCACGCGCCCGAGCGACAACAACACCCTTGCGCGGCATTTCTCGGGCTGGATCGATCGATGGCCCTGGGGCCCGGAGTGGCGTGCGAAAACGCGCCCGAAGTGACACAGCAGTGCGCCGCCCAGAGCCCGGCGGTCCTCGCAGGGGCGCAGGAGGGCGGCCAGGCCTTCCCAGGAGAGCGAGCCGTGCCAGTCCTCGAGCACGGGCAGACTGCATAAAGCATGAACCGCCGGAGGTCCGCGAGGTTTTCTGGAATCTGCGCTGGCGCCGCCTCCCAAGACATGTTCGCGCCGTGACAAACAACAAGACGGGATGGTTGTGTCGTCGCCGTCGGCCTCCAGAGGCCCTCGTCGGGCCCCGGAGCCGTCAACACGCGGCCTGGGGCAAAAAATACGGGCCCCAGGGAAAAGGTCGCGATCTCCGGGGACCTCGTGTTGCCAAACGTCTAGGCTTCGCATGTCTGGGCCCCTGGTGCGCGGAGCGCGGCAAGGGCGGCGCAGAAGACGCCGCCACGGAGGCTCAGCGCATATCCAGTGCCATCCGCGCGGAACTCCAGAAGTGTACGTTTACGCGGTTCATGTCAGGGCTCGATGGTATACACCACGTCGTCTGGTCGGCCAAGGAGCTCGGTGCCTAGGCGCCCCAGCTGGCCAACCCGACGGGTGCTGGAGCGTCTATGCACCGAACTCGTGCGCCAAACTCCAGGGCTCGAAGCACCCCGACCTGATGCTCAAGAGACCTCCCTGTATGTTGCGCCAGGAATGCGACACACCATCTGCAACAAAACGCTAGCCTTCGTGAACCCAAGCAATGTGTTTTAGCATACTGCACACTGCAACGCACGTGGTGCAATCTACGCGGCGCCATCGAAATGGTGCAGCGTATCTGGTGCAATTAATTCCTGTTCGCAGTGAGGTGTCCACTCCCTGCTCGGGGCGACATCCCACTCACACACCCACCCGCAGCTTGGTTTGCAAACCTCATGCGGTGGCGAATGCGATGAATGCGCGGCGCTGGCTGGTGCATCTCTGCGGCCGCGCTAGCCCGCGCATGCTCGCGCGCGCAGTGGCCAGCTACTTTGAAGCGACCGACGCGAACGCGGTGGCGCTGACCGCTCGGCGCATCCGAACGGGCACTCCAGTGCGAGTCGGCGACTTGGGCGGGCGTGTACCATGGCAACGCCGACAACGGTAGACGCGAATATGATAGTAGCGATACTGGCGACGATGCTGAGAGCGACGGCGGGGCAGCCAGTGACGGCGCCGATGCTGATCACGCCGACGACGATGACGGCGTCTTCGCGTCGATGATAAAAAGGTTTTGGAAAAAAGTTCGAAATGCGCGCGCGGCAGACGCGCGAGAGTGGCTCGCATGATATCATGTGGCACGGATCGTGCCACCCCAGCACGCGCGCAAGGGCGTTCGAACGATTCCGACATGCGCGCGCGGGGCCCGCTTGGTAGCAGGTTATGGACATGTTGAAGAAGCATATGGTTTTCTTAAGAATTTGCCAGAACGCGCGCGCGCGCTTTTGTTGAACCTCCGTGTTGCGACTCCCTGTTTGTCTTTTGACACTCCATTTTGAGATCGTTCCGAAACCGAAGGTTTCTGACGCACTTCGGCATGCGCGCGCGACGACGCGCGCACGTGCACTTCGTCTCTTTTCCTGAAAAGGGTTCTCGCGACGGACAATCGCGCAAGGGCGTTCGAACGATTTCGAAAGGCGCGCGCGAAGTCCGGTGGGTAGTCTTTTCTGAACAGATTGAACAAACGATGGTTTATTAAATATTCGCAAGACCGCGCATGTTGTTTTTGAGAATCCGTGTTGCGAGACCTTTTGGTGTTATATGTTTTTTTGGACACTCGGTTCCGAAATCCTTCCAGAATCGACGGTTTCTGAAGGATTCCGGCATGCGCGCGCGACGACGCGCGCGTGCACAGTTCGCCTCGTTGTTTTGCTGCAAGGGGTGTGGAGCTGTACGCGTGGTGCACCCTACGTGGTTCAATCTAAGTGGTGCAGCGTACCTGGTACAATCAACATGGCGCAATCTGCGCAGTGTGATATACAGTCAAAACCCCTAATAAGGACGCGCGGTAAGGACGCAAGACCCTTGGAAGCCGAAATTGGAATTCCTGGGGCGGCGGACGACGAAAACCCCAAGGACGCAAGAGCAAGGAAGAGCAAGGACGCAAGGGTACCCTGAGCAAAGTCGCGCGTCCTTATTAGGGTTTTTGACTGTATGCAGAGCAGCCAATGCGATGCAATCTGCGCAGTGCAATCCGTGCGGTGCAGTCCAAGAAGGCGGGCGGCGACGGGCCGCGACGGCGCGAGCAGGCGCGGCCACCGCCAGCCAGGCCCAAAAGCAGCGGCGACGGGCGACGGCGACAGCACGCGCGGCGACCGCCAGCCAGGCCCGGAAGCAGCGGCGACAGGCGGCGGCGACGGGCAACGGCGGCGACAACAGGCGCGCCGAACCGCCAGGCAGGCCCAGTTGCTCAGACCACAAGTAAGAACCTCTAAGTATGAGCGCTATTCGGGGAATTACTCTACTTATGTATAGACAGATCTATATATACACCAGAACACCACGGCGACGGCACAAGTGGCTTCCAAGACTTCCTACGGTCCACACGACGGCTTCGGACAGGCCCAAAAATGCACTACGGGGGCCCTTTCATTCGCCGCGGCTGGACGTAGCGTGAGAAAGAGAGAAGAGAAGGGGAGGTGCAGGGTTTCCCTGGGGGAGAAGAAGGAGGACGAGGAGGAGTTGGAAAGGGTGGAGGAAGCCGCAGAGGAGGAGGAACCGGAGGAGAAGGAAGAGAGGGGGAGGAGGAAACATGATATTTCTTTTTTTGCAAGCGTAGCGAAGCTGCCAGGCGAACTTGAAAAGACATTGGAATTCCCGTTTTTCGCAAGTGCCCTCGGGGCCTCTCTCGGGGCTCTTTGGACTTCTTTGGGGCTTCTCCGGGACCTCTTGAAGCTCCTGGGGCGAAGATCTCGGGTTCCCACGTTCCCAGTCCTGGGCCGCGGTTGGGGGTTGGGGCCCTCTCGGGCCGTCTTGGACGTCTCTTCGGCGCTTTTGAAGCCTGTTGGGCCGTCTTGGAGCGCTTTTGAAGCCTATTAGGCAGTCTTGGGGCGATCCTCGGAACCTCTTAAGACGTCTTGCAGCGTCGGGAAGTGGAACAAGCGGAAACGCCAACATCGTTCTAAAATCTGTGGAACATACATGTTTTGGCCTCTTCGAAGTGTTGGGAAACCTCTTTGAAGCCACGTGGGTATCTTGGGTGCCTCTTGGGCCGTCTGGACGCCGTCTTGGACCATCTAGTGGCTTTTTCGGCCCATCCCGCCACCGTGCCTGGGTTGTGGGTTAGAGGCCTCTTTCAAGTTCGTTTGGAATTCGTGGGAGGCCTTCCGGGGGCCTCTTGAAGGCAGTTTTGGAAGCCTCTTAGGGCCCGTTTGGGGTGCTCTCGGGGCCTCTGTTTGGGCCTCTATAGGGGACTCGTGGGGCCTCCAGGGGGCGTCTAGGGGGCCTCTGGGGCTCTGCTTGGGGCCTCTTGGGGCTTGCTGGGGGCCTCTTGGGGCGGAAGGCTCGAACTGTCGGTTCGTGCTTCCTCTCTTGGACCCCTCTTGGGGTCGTCTCGGGGCCCTCTTGGGCGATCTTGGGCGCCTCTCGGGCCGTCTTGGGGCACTCTTGGGCCGTTTTGGGGCTCTCTTGCGCCGCCGTGGCGCCCTCTTTGGGTCCCTCTTGGGCCGTCTTGAGCTGATGTCTGGGGCCTGTCGGAAACACGAAGCAGCGAGAACTCGAAACACCTTCAAAGACTACCTACTTTGCTCGCCTCTTGAGGGCCTCGTGGGAGTCCTTTTGAGGGCATCTTTGCCGTCTTGAAGCCCTCTTGGGCTGTCTTCAAGCCATGTTGGACCAAATTTGAAACGCTCTTGTGCGGTCTTGGGCTCTCTTGGAACGTTCTTGGGCTGTCTTGGCGTCCTCTTGATGTCTCTCTGGCCCTCTCGTCGCCCCCCCTTTCCCCTCCTTTGACGCGTTCTGGCAAGCCCGACGGGTCCAAAACAGCTGGAGGCGAAGTCAGTGCACTTCGGGGCCCCTGGAACCCCCTCCCCATTTAGATATAAGTTGGGTTTTTGATGTATAGTTTCTGGCCCCGGCAATCTCCGACAATTTGGCATCCGCGTGGGATGATTGATCTGTGACTTGTGGCACACGAGCAAGACCCCCAGCAACTTCTGGCGATGAGGTTGCCGCGGCAAAAAAAAATCCATCATATCCAAAATGTCCCGTCAATCCTTTGGCTAAGGTGGTATAACGAAATCGTTATTCCCTCTTCCAACAACCTCTTCCTTTCTGGGAGTTTTACCTCCTCATCCACCCCCGGAGGGGCCGCGATCGGACAGAGCGCCCAAGGTGGCCCAAGACGGCTCCAAGAGAGCCGACGCTCCAAGATGGCCTCCAAGATGGCTCAAGAAAGCCGACGACGGTTACATCTAGCTTCCACCATTACATCCAAGAGGCCCGACGAGGACCACAAGACGGTTCCAAGTGCTCTCGGAGCCCCCACAGGACCCCCCAGATGCGCTCTTGAGGCATCAGGATGGCCCAAGAGAGCTCCACGAGGGCCCCAGGAGGCGATTTTGATGGCCCCAGGGGGGTGTCGAAGACCCCCCTGGAGAGCCCCAAGCGAGCCCCAAGAGGGCCCCAAGAAACCCCAAAAGAACCGCAAGAGGACCCCAAGATCCTCCGAAAGAGCCCCAAGAGGGCGCCAAGAGGCGATCTTGAGGGCTCAGTCCTCGTCCTCGTCCTTGTTATCCTCCTCCTTCTCCTCCGCGTCCTTGTCCTTGCCCTCATCCTTTTCCTTTTCCTTTTGCTCCTCGTCCACGTCGTCGTGATCGTCGTCGTCGTCCTCTTCCTCCTCCTCCTCCTCCTCCTCCTCCTCCTCCTCCTCTTCGGATGGCCCGTAGAGGCCCTCCAATGCCATCCCCTTGCTCCCAGACATCTCTTTGCTCACCCTGATTGCCCGCGTTGTTTCACAACATGTGTCTCCTCCTGCCAGGGGGTCTGAATTGGTCGGGATGCACAACATCGGTCAGCCAAGAGGTAAAGCCGAATCCGATCAAAATGGGTTCCCGGACCCCTCCGGGGGTACATCCGGTGCACCCTGGATCCGTTTCTGACGGTCCCGGAGCCCGGAAGCGCCCCCCGGGCGCCGGCAAAGGGAAAACAACCTCCCCGAATCCAGCGCCTCAAACCTCGCCCCAGCCCCCGCCCCCTCCTGCTGGCCAGAACCAGCGCTGAGCCACTCAGGCGGCTCCAGCCTCAGAGCGGAGCGGCTGAGTCCCTGGACACCTGGCCGACCGACCGGCGCGGCGGACAGACTCGGCGGCGAGCGAGGGGGCGACATGAAAAGGCACAATGCTGCTCAGAAGACTCGGAAGTCCCCCGGCTTCTTGAGAAGCCCGCCAAACCTCCCCCGAAGACAGAGGACCTCCCAGAAGGCGCGAGGGCTTCTGCGAAGCCCCGCCGCCTTCTGAGACGGCTGTCTCCCTCTCACGTCACCCCTGGGCGCGCCGCCGAATTAGGTTTTTGGATTAGAGCCTGGGTCTCCAGCGGCCGTTCGGGACGATCCGGGCATCCCCAGAACGCCCTGGGCGAGGCGCAGCTGCTGGCAAGCATCCCGAGGCTGGAAAAGCGCCAAGAACCGACGAAAGCGTCCGAAAACCTTGAACCTCGAAGCTCGAGCCCGGAAGGTTCCCCCGCTCGCTCGCCGCCGCCAAACGCCGCGCCCCCCCGCAGCGTCCAGCAGCCCCGCGGCGGCCTGGAGCACCCTGCGCTCGGCGCCACCCTCCGCCGCGCAGCGCTCGGCGGCACGCAGGGCGGCGCACAGCGCCCCGAGCTCGTGCACAAGCTGCCCGAGGGCCCCCGTGCGCGAAATGGCCTCTGGGCGTCGCTCGCAGCAGCGCCCCCTATCGCCTTCCTTCTCGCCCTCCTCCTCCTCGTCCTCGTCCTCCTCCTCCTCGTCCTCCTTTTCCTCCTCGTCCTCCTCTTCCTCCGCGTCCCCCTCCTCCTCCTCCTCCTCCTCCTCGTTCTCCTCGTCCTCCTCGTCCTCCTCCTGCTCCACCTGCCTCCTTCTCCTCGCCCTCCTCATCGCTCTCTTTTTGCCCTCCACATCCCCCTCTCCTCGTCCTCCTCCTCATCCTTTTCCTCCTCTTCCTCCTCCTCCTCCTCCTCCTCCTCCTCCTCGTCCTCCTCCTCCTCCTCCTCCTCCCTTTCCTCCTCCTCCTCCTCCTCTGCCGCCCTGCGACCATGGCGGATCCGACGGCTCCGCGGGGGCCACCCGCAGCCAGGCGGCCCCAGGTCCTCCAGCAGCCCCCAGCCAGCCTCCTGTTGAAGCCGGCCAGAGGCACGCCTCAGTCAGGCGTCGGCTGGCGCTGTCTCGCCCCGGCAGAGCAGGGAGGAGAGGAAGGGAGGAAAAAGCCCGCAGGAAGCGGGAGGCGGAAGAGGCGGGCGCGCGGCCGTGGGGCCTGCGCCACCGAATCACACCGTTAGGCGCGCGGGCCCCCACCGAGGGAGGCAAGGACCGAGGGAGGAGAGGGAAGGAGATGGGAAGGAGGGAGAGGGACAGGTGGCCGCGCGCCGGCCCAGGCTGCTAGGCGGGCCCTCTCCTGGGCGCTGCGGGGCGCTGCTGCTGGCGAAAGCGAGGCGCGCAGAAGCCATCACGACTACGGAGGAGGGAGGAGGGGAGCAGGAGAGAAGGACGGACGCGGCGCAGGAGAGGGGAAGGGAAGCAGAGGTGAAACTAGAGCAGATAACAACGGCATATGGCTGAAGCCGCGCTGCCGGCGCACTGCGCACGCGTTTAGCGAAGTCCCGCGGCTCTGCGGCGCTGCAGGGCCAGCTGCCTCTGGACGACGCAGCTGACCACTTTGTAGGCGCGGATGAGCTCAGCGCCCTGCTGGTCGTCAGGGCACGTCTGCACCTGGCGCACCAGCCACTGGCGGGCCTCGCCCCCAAGGCGGCCCGGCGCCCCCACGACGAAAGGCGTGAGGCGGTCTCCCTGGTAGCGCGCGTGCTTCTCGCGCTCGGCAGCGCGCGCCGCCTCGCCTGGCCTGCGGGCGGCGCCAGCCACGGCGTGCTCTGCCGCCGGGTGACGCACGGTCACGGCCAGCCAATGCCGCCCCGCCCCCTCGAAGCATTCTATATCGAGGATGGCGCGTTCCTGGAGGTCGGCGCACGGCCGCGATTGCCCGGGCTGCTGCGGCACAGGCGGCGCGCGGGCGCCGAGCTCGAAATGGAAGTGATTCGGGCTGGGGCGGAACTCCCAATCATGCCCGCTGACCGCTCCTCACAAGTGTAAGGATGCCGATGAAGGTGATACACCCAGCGCCAGCGCAGGAGCCAGGGGGACGAGCAGTCGCGGAGGAGGCGGCCATCGCGCGCGGGCGCGGCCGGGCCCCGCCTTGAGCTCCTCCTCCTCTTTGAGCTCCTCCTCCTCCTCCTCCTCCACCGCTTACTCCTTAGTTCGTGCCGTGCCGACCCCGGTGTTGGCTCCTGGCGCCGCGGGTATCCTTCGGCCTCGGACGATCGGCGGCACTCCGATGGTGCACATCGTCCGACATCGGTCGCCTCGGGGCCGCTGGTGGCGTTCAGCCGTGAACGCCCGCGCTCGGGCCGTCGCCGCGACGACGCGACACGAACTACAGCCGAACATATGATCAAGAAAATCATCACTCGGGCCACCAGGCTGTAGGCGCGTGATTCGCAGTTTCCTGTACCAGTTGTAGCTTGTAGTTTCCAGTGTTACAGATCTGCTTCTTGCTGGTTGCTGTAACTAGTTGATTGACCGCGCGAGGGGGGGGGAGGCCCAAACAGGATTTTCCAGCGTCCCCTGGGCGCGTTGTCTGAATTGCTGGGGGGGCTCGAAATCGACACCCCTCACGCAGATCCGCGGGTCAGGGTCCAAAAACACAAAGGATTTAACACATTTCTGAAATTCGGTGCCACCCCTCACGCAGATCCGCGGGGTCAGGGTCCAAAAACACAAAGGATTTAACACATTTCTGAAATTCGGTGCCACCCCTCACGCAGATCCGCGGGGTCAGGGTCCAAAAACATAAGGGATTTGCCACATTTCTCAAATTCGGTGCGCAGATCCGCGGGGTCAGGGTCCAAAAACACATGGGATTTGCCACATTTCTGAAATTCGGTGCCACCCCTCACGCAGATCCGCGGGGTCAGGGTCCAAAAACACAAGGGATTTGCCACATTTCTGAAATTCGGTGCCACCCCTCACGCAGATCCGCGGGGTCAGGGTCCAAAAACATAAGGGATTTGCCACATTTCTGAAATTCGGTGCCACCCCTCACGCAGATCCGCGGGGTCAGGGTCCAAAAACACATGGGATTTGCCACATTTCTCAAATTCGGTGCCACCCCTCACGCAGATCCGCGGGGTCAGGGTCCAAAAACACGGGGATTTGCCACATTTCTGAAATTCGGTGCCACCCCTCACGCAGATCCGCGGGGTCAGGGTCCAAAAACACATGGGATTTGCCACATTTCTGAAATTCGAACCCATCACGCACATCCATCGCAAGGCGTGGTAACCCAAACTGCGAGAACTCCCTCGGCCCTTTAATCGCAAGGTGTGGTAACCAAGCCCTTAAACCATACACGTCTTACCAATCGCCAGGTGTGGTAACCCCTCTTGTGATCAGTTGGTTTTGCTGATTGCGACTCGGCTACGCATGAAGTTTCGATACTGCTTCACGACAGCGCCAAGGCCTCATGACTGAGCTCTTCCATGGCCCATTCTCCGAGAGAGGGGGCCGGCGGCAGGGGGCGAAGCCCTTACGGATTTCTTAAGACAAACCTGGCCAAATTATTGTGCCAACGCTGGAGGGGCGAACGCGCTCAAGAAACTGAGCCAGCTTTCCGGTAAGTTGGCTAAGAAACGCTGGCCCAGCTTTTCGAGAGAAGGGTTCTTAACCAAATGCTCGAGTGTAGAGGAACAAATGCCGGCAGAGACAAGATTTCTCTGTGGCCCGCACGGACTTCTTGGAGCGGCGCTGGGCCCCCTCTCTGGCGCGAGCACAGAGAACTTATTAAGTGTTTGAACCTTTTCGTTCTTCGATGGGCGCCGTTTGGCCAGTCCCTGTCCAAACTGTTGTGAGGAGAAGCCTGGAGGCCTCACGCGGCAACGAAGTCGAGATTCCGTTTACGTCGCATCCACTTCGGATCCATGGCGGATCTACGCCGGGTTCACGTCGGAATCACATCGGGTGCGCGTCGGATTTACGTCGGACTCCCGTCGGAACATCGCCGCGCGAACGTCATCCCATATCTGACGGGGCGGAAGTGTGGATTAGACTATGCAACATTGCTTGGCGGCGCGCACAAGGGGGTGGGGGATGGGGTAGGGCTTCTTAGAAGGAGGCTGCGTCTTAGAAGGCGCCGGCCTTGCATCTACAGATAAGACCCGCGCCTTCTAAGCAGGGGTGCTTCTAAGGCACCCTCCCCCCTCCCCCCACCCTCCTC